CTCGTTCTCGCCCTCCGCCAGGGCGGGGGTGGCGCAGCCGGGGATCCGGGAGCACTCCCGCTGCTGAAAGGCTGGGTTTTCCCTCTGTCCCTGCCCAGGGAGCAGGTGTCCGCGTGCGTTTCCATCCTGGAGAGGCTCCTGCCGGCCCTGGACCCGCTCTACGTGATCCAGAACCTCAGAGAAGAGCTTCAGAAAGGGCTTTTCCACCCCGACGACTCCGTGAAAATCCTCTCCATCTCTCAGGTACAGGGTTTTCCTCCAGGAGGAGCGGAGAGAGCGCTGCCTCGAGCCAGGCTGGGTTGTTCCTAATGTGCTACCGTTGCTTCGTGTCCTGATTTGTGACAAAAGCGCCACATCCAGGGTTATCTGCAGGAATCATGCTCCTGGGCACTCGTACAAATTTGGATTGATACTGTGCAGTGTGTTGGTAGTGTAATACTTTATGATGTGTCTGTTAAACGTGATGTATAAAGTTATGTGTTGACTGAATTAACTTATAAATTAATCTTCTGCCACATGTTCTGGATAAAGCTTTCGAAGCCAGCACTGACAGCAGCTGCCGTAAGAATTAAGCACAGCAACGTTTTGATATTCAGGATACTTTGAACAATGTTGTGGAAACGTTGAAGAGAAATAGGCTGTAGTAACTTGAGACTTGTTGCATTAATTTGTAAGAAGAGAATTGTGGAACGTTGTATTTTGGAATGGACTTGTAGATGTTTCAGGTCCAGCCCCTAGCCAAAAGTGTGGTCAGCTTGCAGCAGCTCCTCAGGGTAGTGTCCAGTTGAATTTCGAGTATCTCCGAAAGCGTTGATTCTATCTGGGTAGCTGTTTCAGTGCTTGAATATCCTTACACTGGAAGAAGTTTGGTTTGATGTTATTTTCTATAATTATTTAATCCTGTCTTTAGGTTGGGAGGATCGTTGAAAATTCAGATGCTGTTACAGAAGTTCTCAACAGTCCTGAATTGTTACGGCAAGTAATAAATTGCATTGGTGGAGAGAAAATAGCAGTGGCTAAAGAGGTGAGTGTTGCTTTCTTTTTTCTTCCCCTACAGACTGATGTAGGCACTGCACAAAATACCTTTTTTACTGTGTTTTAGATGACAGCTCTGCTCTTCTTGGAAGAAAAAGAGAGTTTATGTTGCTTGAAAGATGTCATAAGCATGTAGGTGCCCTAAGCCCAGAAGTTACTTAGATGTAATAGAAAATATACCTGTAACTGTTATCTTCCGGTAGCTGCTGATGCCAAAGTGAACTCGTAAATCTGAATTTAATGCCAGAGACTTGGATCACAGTAGCCATAACTAGCTCTTGTCAACAATATGGTAGTTCTCATTGAAAAGTGAATCACAATTCATGTTTTAGATCCGTAACATGATTTAGTATGTTAGTAAACAGCGAAACTAAGTCAGATTGTCTCGAATTTTCTTCTCTTTGTGTTTTTTCTTACTATAAATTGCTGGGTTTGTTTCCAGGCCATCAAATCTCTCTCAAGAATAGCACAGACGCAAGATGGCTTAGAGGCTTTATTTGTGAGCAGTTTGTTGAGTGACTTGAAAAATGTCATGGCAACAAGTGATGTCGTTCGATACCGAGTGTATGAGGTAGGAATGTGATCAATGTTGACATTTGAATGACATTCTGTGGTTCTCTTGGACTGTAGTTCTGAATTACAATCTGGATTTTATGGCTTGCTTTTAAATTAGTATTCATCACTGCAAACTTTTCTTCATGTCTGTGTTTTGTCAAGACAAGAAAGGAGCAGGAAGAGTACAGCAGTGTTGGTGCTCAAATAATGTAACTTTTCAGGGTATGGTGCAAAGGTGTGAAGTACTGCTTATGTCTTTTATTTTCTAACTTGTCATCTCTAGGGCATTGGAAGGGCTACGCAGAGTTACTAAAGATACAATAAAATACTTGCTTCTCTGAAAGTAAAAGTAAGATAACCACTGTAATCTCTCAACATTTGGATGTTTTGCCATTGAAACTTCTGGAGGATAGAAGGCACTGAGAGAGAGATGCCAAGTGTGTCAGTCTAGATGTATATGGCAAAGGAAAAATAATACAATTTAGCTGTTCTGAAGCTTAATTGGGATAGCAGTGATGAGCCTCTGAAGAAAACGTGACTGTGAATAGAAATCAAATGCATGTGCCCTAAGCTTGGAACTCCTTATGAGCTTGTTTCAGGCAAACATCTAGGTTAACTAAGAAAACATAATGAAATTCTATATTTAATATATATAGGATTAGTCAACGTTATAAGATGTATTTGGCCATTACTGTGAATTGTTAACACTATAATGTTTTGATAAACCATCCTTTTTATTTTTCCCTCTGCTTTTCTTAGTTAATTGTCGAGATTTCTTCAGTGTCAGCAGATTCACTAAATTACTGTGCAAACAGTGGATTAATATCAGAGTTAATTGGAGAGCTGACTGGAGACGATGTGCTGGTCAGGTATGTTGGTAGGGAGTTTGCCAATTAGATTTCTGCCGTTGAAGAAACTCTGATGTTCAGTCTTAAAATAACACTCTTTGAACACATTTGTGTGTGTTTCTCTTGAGCACCTGTTCAGGGAAACATTTTATCTGCCGCCTCTTAAACAGCCATGTGTGTAAAATACTGTATTCTTAAATTTGAGAACCGAGGTGAGGTTTCCCCAGTATGCTGTGATAATTGTAATGCTGGGCTGCAATGTAAGTGTTTTAGAATTCTTTCCAGCTGTACACCTAAAGTAAGATAGCCGAGTGAGCGTGGAGGAGCGTTGGACGGTTGGGGTAGTTTGGTTTTTGTTGTGTTTGTTTTATTTATTTTGTCTTAAGGGTAGAAGACCTGTTTTTTCTTAATCGTTGAGTACTTCAAAAACGCATCTGAAATAGGCCAAAATAACTGTGTATCTGTTACAGAGCTACGTGTATAGAGATGGTGACCTCACTGGCCCATACTCCACATGGGCGTCAGTACCTTGCTCAACAAGGAATTATTGATAAAATTTCAAACATCATCCTTGGTGCAGAGTCGGATCCTTTCTCGGGCTTCTATTTACCAGGTTAGATCACATATTTCTTGTGTCCAGTGTTTACTGTTTGCTTTTATTAATAAGTTAAATTGAGAGGACTGTTAAGCCTCTGTTTTGAAAGCTCATGTGAATTTTTGAATATTAGAACACGTATGTTGGATGTATACAAAAATGTTGAAGGACAGTCTGACACATGAATAAGGAAGTAGCAGTACAGGTCAGATCTCGAGAGACTGAACTGTAGATTCGAAGTTTGTGTTATGGTAGTTGTTTTTTTATGAATTCAAGAAGACAGCTGTTACATCGTAAATGAAGTAAATTCCAAAATATTGGCTTGTTCCTTAGTTCTGTCCTTATTCTGTTGCCTTTCACAAACAGTATTCAGACTTAATAACACT